GGAGTTCAGCTGCAAGCCTGGCACGGATGACTTCAGACTCGTCAGAGTGATTAGTGACTTGAGTGGTATCAACCCCATGAATTATAGCCTTTATATATAAAGGAACGAAAAGACCACAATCAAAGCTGCATGATATAAGATGGAGCAGATAGTTAGATATAACATGCTGAATAAAATGAAAATGTTTAAATTTAGTTAACATACTAAGACATGTTTAAATGCATGAAATACTAACATTTCAGTCTGTTGCTCACAAGGGACGGCTTCATATCGGAACTTTCTCCAAATATTATTCGGATCGAAACCAGACTTCATATGGTCCATGAATGCAATTACTTTATTTACTGGCTCCTCCTTCTTCTTGATTTTCCTTCTTCTTGATTTTCCTCTTCCCCAAAAAATCCCAAGTGCATTCATCAGGCTTACAATAGAACCTGATTTTTTCCCTCTCTTCCTCCTTGTGGTGTGATATGTTAATTATCTCTTGATGAACTTCCTTCTTCTTTTCTTGAGTGAAAGGGGTGCGGACTAGTTGTGAGCGCGTCCGCCTTCTGGTACTTGGTCCCCTAGTCCTCTTTGACGCTAATCTCTTCATTCTCTTCTGATAAACTTGCACCTGTTTTCCATCCTCCATCCTTTCTTCATCCAGTTTCTCCTCAGCACATTCTCCCTCTCTGTTTTCCACCACTTTTTCTTCATCTTTCTTCTTTCCTTTTTCCTCTTCCTCTTCCATCCTTTCTTCATCTTTCTTCTCCTCAGCACATTCTCCCTCTCTGTTCTCCACCACTTCTCCTCCACTTTTTCTTCATCTTTCTTCTTTCCTTTTTCCTCTTCCTCTTCCATCCTTTCTTCATCTTTCTTCTCCTCAGCACATTCTCCCTCTCTGTTCTCCACCACTATTTCTTCATCTTTCTTCTGATGTTTTTCCTCTTCCACTTTCTCCTCTTCCTCTTCCTCTTCCTCATTCTTCTCCTGCTCTCGCTCTTCCTCTTTCTTCTCATCCACAGTCGCTTCCTCTTTCTTATCCTCCTCACTCTCTACAGCTTTCTCCAAATTATCATCCTCCATCTCTTGCCATTCACCTTTCTCTAACTCCTTCTCTGCTTCCTTGCCAATATTGGTTACCTCGTCATAATCGAAGCAAATTCCATCATCACCCCTGTCCTCAGAATCAATACTCCTCCTTATTTTCTTTTGTGCAGACCCTGTATGCCCCTCTTTCTGTGACATAATCCCCTTCACATTCTTCTTCAGGTCTTCGGGGTCAATCAAGTCAGCGGTCCCTTCATAACCCTCCAATTTCTTGTTCAGCCTATGTATCTCCTTAGAGCATTCCTCCCATTGAAGGCGCTTACTACGCTTGACAGTGTGGAGCAGTTTCCAATTAATTTTGGCCGTATTCCGCCAAAACTGAATTTGATCTTCGGTTGTCAACTTCTCTATTTCATCTTCACTCTCAAAAGCATCTCTAATATGCTGGGCCAAAATCTGAAAAGTAAACCATATACCCATTACCCATATGTATCCACAATATTAAAAAAATAGTTATGATAATCCACAATGTAATTTTCTTACCCAAAACATGTTAACATGAAACAATGAGTACATGGAAAATTAACTAATGATAAAGATAGAAAATTTAACTCAATTGGTAATATGCAAGAATGTGTAAAGAGTCATTGATGCTTACGTAACCTACGGATGAGCTCCTTGTCCTGCCCTTCACCTTATCTTGCTTCCCATCCTTTACCTTTTCTTCCTCATTCTTCTTTCTCACCCTAGTTTGCTCCATAACCTTACTCCTATATGAGACAATTGGGCTTCTTTTTTTCCCAAAGCGAGCGATTTCAATCTTCTTCCTGCTAGGCTCCCGTTGAGGGTATTTTTCACCTTGAGGGTATTTTTCACCCCATTCAATGCTGGTCGTAATTGGTCTCTCCATGATTTTAATGCTTGCTTTCTTGGCCTTAGAGACAATTGTCTCCATCCTCAACGATCCAGCAGTCCCTCCAATCCTTACCCAATTGGTCATCGGAGGCTTCCATCTCAAGTTTAGGGCTGGTTTTTTAATGCCAGTCATCTCATAGTACCATAGCTGTCAGAATCGAAGGAACGAATATCAAAATAGTTAACTTTCAGAACTCATTCTTCAACTACACTCTAAATAGCTACCTTTCACCAAAACATGTTAACATTAATGGGTACATGTTAACTTTCACCTATTAATGTTAACTTTAATAATTATATGTTAAAGTTCATGATAACATGTTAACTTTCACCTATTGATGTTAACTTTAATTTTTATATGTTAAAGTTCATGTTAACATGTTAATTTTAACCATATTCTGTAAACATTTAATATTGTACATGTTTTCTAATGCCTGTTACCAAGACTAATGTTAACTAAAACAAATGTCAGACCAGTTGGTCATGCAACTTACAGGGATGAGCGGCATGCATCCAGGTACGTATGTAACCCCTGGCTTCCTCAACCCTTCAACGGCAATTTGAATGCCTCTCTTCGTCTCATCAAAAATAATTTTACCCCACGCAATGTTCTTCACTCTCTCAATACTATCTACATATTGAAACAACTGTCTTGGAATGCCTTGTGAGCTGTTGGGGCACCAAATCATTGCACACTGGTACAAGATCTGAAGCAGCACAAAATCCTCAATGTCCTTATTTTCAGAAGACTCAACCAGTGTTTCCAGTAACTCCTCAACATATCTCCTCATGCTACCAGCTTCTTGTGTGTCCTTGGCCTTCTCCTTTGACTTTGCCTTTAGCATTTCTTTCTTCTCTTCAAAATATTCCCTCCAAAGCCGGTTGTGCGGGTGTCTATTCCCGTAGATCAATTCCCCATCAATAGGGAAGCCCGTGTGAGTTTGCACCCACTCTTCATCAAATTGGACTGAAAATATAGTCCCGCTTATGGGATCAGAAAAAGAGAATTCATCAGTTTCGCCAACATAATGGCTGAGCACATGCTCTAGTGCCCGTCGATCACGTGCTGGAGGTCCGAAGAATACATAGTGCTCAAAGTTACTGCCCTTGTAGGCATCCCAATGCCACTGCTTCAGTTTTGGTTGAAGTCTTTGCATGAAAGTACAATATGATCCAAGACAGGCACTAGGCCGTATATCACCTTCGGCTGTAGCTTTCCTGCATAAACAACTATTTACTCTTAACAAGTCGTTCAACTCCAAAGTAGGTAACAATTAACCGTAAAGGCATTATCTGAGTCAAAATTTCGTTTTATTAACATGAATAGCTAATACTTGACACTTATGCATAAACGTTAACAACAACCAAGATTTATTGACATGCATTGCAACTAGCTATCAACAAATGAGAATTATTTACATGCATTTGTTCCAAACTGATAACACTTCGTATTGTTCAGATCTTACTCCAAAATTACGAAACTGGTTCTACACTACAATAACCAGTCTCTCACCACCATTTTATTCAAAAAAAGATCCCATAAACCTCAATTAAAATCAAAATCACTCATTTAAACTAATTAAATTCAAAAACCCTCAATTGCTTGGGAACTTACTTCTTCTTTGAGATGGACACATCCTCCAGCGAGCGTCTCCTCTTGCTTTCGCGAATATCCAGACTTTTCATGCTCAATAGGGTTTCCGTCGCCTCGTTACTCTCCTCATCCTCAGAGGATGTCGGAGCAGAATTGCCGGCGGGCGATATCAAGGCAGAGGCGGAGGCGGATAACTTTGGCATTTCCTGCTGCGCCAATCGTGCCGACCGACGCCGGTGACGAACGTCCTGTTCCGTTTGTTTGTTGTCCACTTCAGACTTGCTACGCTTACGGTTCTTCGCCATTTTACTTAAATTTCTTTGGGGCATTTTCCAATTAGATTTCCTAGCCGCTTGAGTGAAACTAGGGTTTTGAAAATGGGTTCGAAAGCTAATGGAGGTTTGCGGTGAAGAAGATACAGAGAGAGAGAAGAGAGAGAGAGAAGGCGGCCAGGCTGAAGGGGGGAACGGGTACAAAAGGGTATTTTGGTCTGAACGCCTGAACTTTTCTCTTAAAGTTGTCTTGGAAATGAAAAAAGGGCTGATTCAGTATTAATTTGGGTTTTGGGGGGTTTGTCACACCAAAAAAAATACAGGGGGGCTGCCCACATCCGATTTTTGGTTTTGGGGCCTTGAAACATTTTTCCCTTTTACCTTTGATATCTTAAATATTCCTTTTGCCCAAAAATAAACCCCAAAGTTTGAAATTTTAGCTTCGATGGTACTGTTAAGCCATTTTCAGGTATCAAAGCTTAAAAGTGTTTTTGAACTTTGGAGTATTTTGTAGGAGAACAACTTTGGATATCAAGGTAAAAAATGATGTAAATTTGGCGTATTTAAAAGTTAAACAACCCTTTTAGTTTTTTTAATTAGTTTCTCTTATTACTATATTTTAAAGGATGTAACTAATAGTAAATGCTTGTAATGACCTTAGTCAAGACATCGGATGGAGAAAGTAACATATAATTAGAAGTAATGAATACAAATAAAGAATTAATAACAATTTTAAAAGAACTAATATCCAAATAGCGGGTCTGTTGTATGAGACCCTCAAACTTTGTTAATTCTATACTCGGCCTTCGCATCTTCATATGTCAGAATTAGGCCTTAAAAAAAATTTCGTATTGGTTTGAATTTGGGGTATTATTCAAAACTACTTAATAGATTTGGAGTGCGAGTTAAACATATTAGGGTGTTATTTATAACAACCTGATGAATTTGAGGACCTAAGTTAGAAACATGTATAAAGATTTGGGATCTAATATAGAATTAACAGGATATGGGGTCCAATTTAGAAAAATGAAAATATAGGCACAAAATGGCTCTTAGAAGCCCATGAAAAACAAAATAATGCGCGGGCGAACCTGAAGCTGAGTAAACAAAATAGTGCATGTTATAACCAAGCTAGACCTTGTAAGATAACTGACAAATCCAAACTGTGCATGAACATGAGGATCAAGTATCTCATCAATGCTGAACGATATCAGAATATTAAGCTCTGGCAACATTCAGCACAACAAATAGTAATCTTTAAATACCAGCAGCCACAAAGGCCGAAAACAAAAAAAAAAATAAAATTACACTCTGTTTTCGATACGGTATAACAAAATAGTGTAACAACGCCAACCTCTCCTAAAAGAACCATTTACAGATAATTTTAACACCGAAGAGTGGGTATTGTTTCAGAACCAAGCAATTTCATCATCACCGCAACCCACCACAAAAAGCCTCCTAATTCGCAACTTATGAGTAGAACTCGTACGTCTTGGCTTTGAGGATGATCTGTCTTAGTCCACCAATGGGCGATAAAATCATCAATAATAATCCGAGTATAATGCAAATCTGTGACAATGAGTGCAAAAGTGAGGTCAGTATGAGATTCATGAGAAGCGCATGCACGAGGAAAAATAAATCTACTGAAAGAAATTTAGCGTACCCAGTTTATGATCCAAGATAAGCTAAACCTTCTAGGCTTGCAAATGATGAGCCACATGACACAAGGGAGCTGGAAAAAAAATAAATGTTTGAAAAATGAGCCGGTGTTTACTTTAAAAGTTGGATTAGTTTTTCGTTATTTTGATTGGTTTTCTCTTGTGTTGTATGCTTACAAAGTATGTTGTTGGTGCGAAAGCAAATCCTCCAAAGAAACTAAGTAGACCACCGAAGAAAGGGAAGGTCATTCCGATGAACATTGTGAATGCTGCAATTATCAACGAAGTTATTTTTCAGTATAATTTTACTCGGAAAAAAAAAACGAGGACATGCTTTTTGTAGGATGAACAAATCTTACCAACATATAAGCTTCTTGCAATCAAACGAAGAGTAAGACCAGGGGTAAAATGAAGCTTCTTTACTAGTACAGTCTCCATCATGTCAAAAACGGGCATGGCATAGATCTGCATCAATAGCAAAATATTATGTGATTAGATTTGTCAGTAAGCACTAAACTTGAAGCTCTGACAAAATCGACAGATCTTAGTTAGGGAACGTTCCATGTATGGATGGAACCTCCGATTCAAAAAATATACGTGCTCATCATCTCAGTTAGGAAAATGAGCTAAGAGATGGACTCCTGGTGAGGTGTCCACCCTGACCACTCGCATCTCTTGACAGCTCATTTTGCTAAACGAAATGCAAATACATGTTATATATATACCTGATAACTTCCTATGACATGAATGACGACCATCATGTTTGCCGTAGCTATAAGCCACCTAGGCTTCTCAAGAGTTTGAAGAATATTGTCGTCCACAGTGTTTCCGAAGGCCCAGTACCCGACAAGTGCTACAGGGAAGTAACACAAGGCAACGACAATGTAGGCGACCACGACTCCCCTCCACATCGCCTTCTTCGAGGGCTTCTCTGGGGTGGAGGGGATGGTTGCCTGGATCTCAAGAACGACATTGTGGCCTGCGTAGGCAAAGGCCACATCCATAGTCCACTCCTGCTTGTTTTCCTTTGTCTACGGAGGCTCCCCAAGCTATGGTGGAGTAACTGGAAATTTCAAGTGAAGTTGGTTTAGTTGTTTAGTTGTTGTGTCTGATACAACTGACACATGAGAAATAAATTGGATTTGCAGATATAATAAAGTTGATGTTTTTTAATGTTTGTACTTTATGTATGGTAAATGGATGTCCCTGAGAAGTTGTGTATGGGAAAATGTAGAATGTTAAAATATCCATTGAAATAAATATGTAAGTTGCTACAATTGTTTGTTTGAAGAGTTATCTCGTATAGCTGATACCTTAGAAATAAAAAAAGTCGATCGATGTTGTTGAATGTCATTGTACTTTATGTATGGCAAATAGTTGTCCTCGAGAAATTATGCATGGTAACTATAGAATGGTAATGCGCACAAATATTCATTGAAAGTTAAAAAACTTCAATCTGAAATAAATATGGAAGTTGTTATATATGGTTACAATCCTTTGTTTGAAGAGCATCTGACACAACTGATACATCAGAAGAAAAAAATCTGATTTTCTGGTGTAATTTCAATCTGTCTGGATGTTATTATAGTCTTGATTCAGGCAAATACATCATTTTTATTTTTTAAAACTCTTCAAAGATTCACACTATTTTCTTCCTGAAACTCAAATGTGTAACGACCTTAGAAACCAAGTTAAGCCAAAAACTTAAAACTATCAGGTACCTGAGAGACATAACAGCAGCCGCCAGGGAGACCCCAGAGATAGAGTTAAAATTCGGCAACTGCGACAGAACAAAATGCACAGACCCAAATATCATGATAAAGTATGTCTTCTTGATCGACTTGCATCCTGGGCACACCGTATCATGAAACTTCTTCAGTGATGTTCCTCCAGTAACCATATACACAATATTCACCCCCACTTCAACGATCAGCTGCTGAGGCACGACGATCCAAAGCCCGAGCTTCTCTCCAAATGCGTGCTGTCCGAGCTCATGGTATCGATCGAATCTCTTGCCTGGGACCATCTCGTGCATTTCCACCATTTGCCAGAGAGTGTAGAGTGTGATGACCCAGGATAAGATCAGGATTGTGATACCTGGACCCCTGTTAAAGTTTACGGAGATATTTTCAAGAGTTTTGCAAGTGAAAATGAGGGTAAATTTCACAGAAGCCCCAAGTAATTAATTTGGCCCAATACTAGAAATTCTCATAAAAAGTTTGAAAATGTCACTTAACCCCTAAAACTCTTGCATCTTTCTTAATAACCCGCAACTTTTTGTGTGTTATCGATCTGAAGAAGTTTGCCGTCAAGTGACATTTCCAGAAATTATGTTAAAAGATTGTGGATGTATGGTTTTTTTTAAATTTACCATCCGAGCTCGGACATGGCGTAAGGGAGACTGAGGACTCCGGCACCAACCATGGCCGTGACATTGTGGAATGCGGAGTACCACCACTTGGCGTTGCGGGAGGAGGTGATAGGAAGCCAGTCCTCGGCCTTCTTCTTCTCGTCCAGCTGTTTTTTTGCGCAGGATTTGGAAGAGTAATTAGAATTAGAATATAAAACTATAACCTTCGAGCTTTTACAATACGCTGAGAGAGGATTCAAATCCTATCAGCTACGTATTAAGTGTACGTCTGATTCAGAAAATACGCCAGCTTGGTACTTATTTTTAGACTATAATCCCAAAATTTTAAAGTTTTTTACTACAGTGATTCTTGGCATGATGTTTAAACTCAAAGCAGAGCTCATGTTAGTTTACAAGTCAATGTTTGTAAAATATATTTATGTTCATAAGCATATTGTTAAACCTCTAGTCCTTTAGGAATGATCTCACTTTTAATTAGTTAAAAAAGGACATGAAGTCACGATAATAACATTCTGCAACAACCTCAACACCTAACTTTATGTGCCTCAGTATGCGTGATACCTTGGACTTTTATGATCTCAAAAGTAATATGATACTTAAAAGGCAACCTAAAAGAAAAAGATTAATATTTCCATTTATTTACTATTCAACGCTTCAAAAAA